ATCTTTGTAAATGATAAATGTACAGTCAATAAAGCGAAACTGACCATTCATACAGTCTGATACCTACTCATTTGCAAAGTAAAACGCAAAAAACTGAAAAAGACGCTCTATTTCGTTTTGCACGTAAGCTATTCAAATGAATTTAGGCAAGCGTGCAGAAGCTTCTGTGTGAAGCCCTTAAAGATTAAAAATGTGCTGATGTTTAATACCAAAAATACCAAGGCCGCCCGGGCTTTCACGCACCAACAAATAGCGGTCTCTCAACTCATTAAGTCGACATTAGAAACTGATATGCCACATTGTTGCGCAAATGACTAAGTGAACTTCAAGGACCGATAAATCACAAACTGTAGCTGGTGGAACTCCATTTCGCTCTAGCACGAAACCGTGCAAAAAAACATACTGCACCTACCAGCCAGATACGCGTAGCAGTTGATTTATGTTGTTCTGTAATGTCCCTCCTTTGCATTGCTAAACTGTGCCGATAAAGTGAAATCCCAAATTTGAATCAAAAGCACAACGTTTCCACAGCAAGCAGAAAAACAACGATAAATTTCTTAGTTTTGTTAGGGATAGGAAACTGACTTTAAAGCGTCGAAATACTCTAAAAAATTTATTAGAAACCTAAAACAGTAAATATTTTCGATGGTGCAGCAGCGTAGCGCGACCCCGTAACGGGCGGACTGCTGTTGAGCGCCCGACGACGATTGGGAGGCGATTCCTGGAATTCCGGGGGCCTACGCTTGAACTGGTAGTTTCGAAAATTTGACAGCCACGCGACGACCACGGATTTGGAGGCCTCGGAGAGAACTGATCCGCACGTGAAACGAATTGGTGTTCTATGCGCGTCGACAAGACAACAATATTGTTCACCTCAAATTTGGTTGTTAAACTTTGTTTTGTTTTTAAATTTGTATAAATTTGGTTGCCCTAGAAAAGTTATATAAAACATCCATAACATCTATACATCTACAAACAACAGCCTACTACAATTCGATAACCTTCCTACAGCCGAGATCCCTACACAGTTACTTCTACCAAAATCTATAAGACATATTTTATTAGCAGTAATTGCAGACCCCCTAAGAGACATCTCCCTACCCCCATGTACCTACTGTCATCCCGGTCTCACCTAAAGCATGCCTAGCCACAACTCCCTCCTTCCTATATGCCTGGTCCATGTAGGAGAGTAGAAAGGAAATTAAATAAAAAATAATTGTCCAACGCACGGACTGCCCGATACGTTTTTTGCATAGCTTCCTGCACATTTTTGTCGCTAGCGGCACTGGTTTTTCCGGCAGATGCTTCTAGCTAAAAGAATTTCCGACCAATTGGCCAGGACTGTCAAGAAATGTCTCTTCAAAATTCCAGTCTTCTAGCTTCTCACGTTCCCGAGTTCGAAACTTCTCGAAAGAAATCTAAACGGTCCTGTACTTAGGTACCACGCTTACCCCGGGACTGGATTTGAGCTCATTAATACTCAATTGAACGGGGAACATTGCCCTAAGATTTCAGCTTTCTACCTTCTCAGATCCTCGAGTTATGAAATCACCCAAAAAAAAAATTTTGGCGGGCTCGTACGCGGGTATTACGCTTGCCCGGAGCGGCGGAGAGGGGGGCTGGATTTGAGCTCGTTAACACATATTTGGACTGGGAACATTCCCCAAGATTTTAGCTTTCTAGCTTCCTCAGATCCCCGAGTTATGAACATACCCAAAAAGATTTTGGCGGGCCCGTACGCGGATACTACGCGGGTAATGGCGCCCATTTTGGGGCTTGGGGCCCGTACGTGCATGTAGATTAAGTTCCCAAAGTTGCAGCCCTGCAGCTTTTATAGGACTTGAGATGAAAAATCGGGACAGACGCGCAAACACAAACACACGGACATACATACAACCCCTAGTCAATATGAGTTTTTGCATTGCATAGCTGCAAAAAACGCATAAAAAAGACTACGTTAAAATAGCAATAAATACACGGGGTAGATCAGACCCAGAAACCAGTTGAAAATCAAAGTCACC